ATGCTCCTTCAACTGCTCAGGAAACGCTTTCACTCGCACGACGAGTGCGACAATTAGAGGAGCAGCAAGCTGAACTTCTTCGGCAACAAGCGGAATTCTTGCGTCGACAAGAAGAAGATCGAAAACTCATTGAAGAACTACGAATGCAAGCAGAATTTTTCAATGAGTTCCAAACCCGAGGATTTCCGAACTTCGGAAGCAGTGGACAAGGAAGCGGTGGCGGTGGCGACGGCGATGAAGCCAATTACGACAGGGAAAATCAAAATTAAATATTTTATATTTTTTTTGGTTTGTAAATTAATTATGTAGAACTTTAATTATATATTTAAATATAATAATATTTTTTTTATTTTTTTAATTTTTTTAATTTTTTTAATATAGTGACGATATTAGTGATGCAATTGCGTCACTAATTTGGTGACGACTGCGTCACTGCGTCACAAAATAGTAACGCAGTTGTTCACGCAATATCGTCACTAATTTATGACGCAATTGCGTCACCAAAACGCGTCAATAATTAGTGACGAAATTTCGTCATTAGTGACGCAATTGCGTCACTAATTTGGTGACGACTGCGTCATTGCGTCACTAAATAGTAACGCAGTTGTTCACGCAATTTCGTCACTAATTTATGACGCAATTGCGTCACCAAAACGCGTCAATAATTACTGACGAAATTGCGTCACTAACTGGTGACGACATTGGTGACGTATTTGCGTCACCAATTGGTGATGCAAGATACTGACGATAATGCGTCATATATTGGTGACGATTGGGTTACGCAATTGCGTCACTGTTTAGTTACGCAATTGCGTCACCGTTGCGTCACCAAATGGTGACGAAATGTATGCGTCACCCTAGCGTCACCAATTGGTGACGCTTGGTGACGAAATTGCAAATGGTGACGGTGCTATTGGTGACGCTTTTTTTGCGTCACTATTGCGTCACCCTTTTAAAAGGGTGACGCAAAATCGCCCTTTGGTGACGCAAATTTTGCGTCACCATTTTCGTGTTTTTTTGTAGTGAAGCTCTTTATTTATTTTCTTTGAAATCAAAGCACAATTGATTCAATGTATGCCATAGATATGACATGTGTATATTTTTAACGATTTGCTCCTTTTTCATAGTTATATAATTGATTTCCTAATTCATCTAAGCTAGAGTGGTTGAACTTTTGTTTTGAAATGGTTGAAATTATATATCTTCTGCAAAATGCTCACACAAACTTGGAAAAGATGAATCCACCCTTTTGTGTAGCAACTGTGATAACAATCAAGGTGTTATTGTTTTGAGATGATGTAATATCTATACGCGTGCAAACTTAATGATCAATATCATAAATAATCTATAATAATTTGATCATTATTTCAAATTTCACCTTGGGTATACTATACGTGACATCCGTAACCCGTGTACAGTATACGGGCTGTACGACGTGGACGATATACAATAAAATAATAAACCGCAGAAACGAAAATACGAAATCCAAAAACATTTTAAATCAAATCAGAGTAAGCAGCGAAAATACAAGCGACCAGTATCGCAAAACAACACATGTCCGAATAGTCATAATATAACCGTACAAAATGCGGGAATACAAGTCCCGAGGTTCCAAATACAAATCCCATACATGATGCTGCCTCTCTCGGGTCGTCGTCGTCTGATGCGCTAGGCGTAATCCTCGTGATCTGTAAAAACATAAAACCACGAGGGCTAAGCACAACTGCTTAGTGAGTAGCCCGGGTTAAACCTGGTAAACCCGTTCCCAGCTAGAACGGTGTTAAAACGATGATTCACAATCAACACGCAGCAATAATAACATGCATCGTCAGATAACATACATCACAATCAAGTCAAACACAATCACACCCATATGGAGTCCACCATATGGTCTAGCCATAAATCCTAGTCAAGTCGGCATGACTAGGAGCGCCTTCACGCCCGTCACTCGTGTGACGTTGGCCATCGCATCGCATGCGATCATGCACGTCTCCTGCGCTCGTCATTCTCGTGACCACCGATGTCAAGTCCATGACACAACGGTTATCTCATCGCACCCGTATAGAGTCCACCATAGGGTCCAGCCATATATCCTAGTCAAGTCCATGACTAGGTGCGCATCCACGCCCGTGAAGTCCATGACGTTGGCCGTCGTGTCGCACACGACTAAAACGCGTCTCAAATGCCCGTCAAGTCCATGACGGTGATGGTTGCATCCACAACCATCCACAAACACAATCATGCTTAGCTCGCATTGCACGAGCAAGCTACACACATGGCACACATCATGCATATATCCCTCAGTACTGTTGGTTGTGATGCTCTAGGATGATCCGTGATATGACATTTTGATTTTGTATTGATTCATTGATTTATGAATGCATTATTTTTTCCGTTATATGATTAGCATGTTTGTTATATTACGGTAAATATCCTTGAATCATTGCAGATGATTCTAAATTCCCTGGTCAGTTATCATTGTGGGAACAATGATGAATTAAGACCAGCATGATGTGTGATAGATGATTATGATCATATGCATTAGATGCAAATCACAATCATGGGTTCTCGTTTGGAACGAGTTACTGGATGACCCGCATGAGATTGTCACATGGACATGAGTCATGACTTGAATCTCATACAACGGTTCGTTCTTGGATCCTCAGACCTGAGATGTCTAGAGTATCTGATATGAGGAGTGACGTGTCTTGACTGCGTCAAACGTCGTCTTTAACCGGATGATCATAACGGCGTTGCTCAGATACGTTCACGAATCATATGCAGATAGTAGACATGCAATACGGGACTTGTCACCTCCTACGCAGGAGAGATGTCGCTGGGCCCCTCGTGGAAATCGGACTGTGAAAATGCGTGGCCACGCTATAGATGAATGTACATCTATTTTATCAGTCGGTTTGCCTAGACGAGTAAGCGGTTGAACTTGAAGGGTGGCTCATACCATGCCCTTGTTCAACATACGACATCGTGAGACAAAGGATCAGAACTCGAACTATTGCTGGCTTTGTTAGATCACCTCTAACTCTATTCTAGGGGGGTAGTCATGGCGTCTTGCTAGAGGCTAACCATGACTTGTGGTTCGGGAAAGGTTTCCGAAGCCACTGCCACTTCGAATGGGCCTACAGGGTCACACACCATTAGGGATGGATCACACGTGAAGAGAACAACGCGAGAAAGGAACCACAGAACGAGTTGGAAGGGTTTCAGATGGCCAGACCGAACGGACGGTCCAGGCATGAAGACCGTCCGTTCTGCGAGGAAAAGCGGAACGTCCGTTCCGCGTGGAATGTCAGACCGTCCGGTCCAGACCTAGACCTGACGGTCCGACTTTCGGGCAGATTTCCTATTTCGCGTTTTAAGGGTTTTGGGCAATCCTAATTAATGTGAGAGCCGCCACAAACCCTAGAGAACGAACCTCAGACGTCCAAGACACTCATGAGAGCTTAGAGAAGCTGGATTTCGAGTTCTAGTGATTGGAATATCGATTCCAAGTCAAGGACATCGTTTTTCTCTTCAAAAATCCTAGCAGATACGTTCCAAAGCGTTGGAATTCATCCCGCCGGTGTGGATACGTGTAGAGGAGTTGTGCTTTCAACTCTCGGTGATTAAAACAGGCCCTGGATCGATTGATACTTCCAGATCTTGAAAGAACGAGGTAAGTATTCGAATCCCACGACGATATACACGATTGTTCGGGTTATTGCACAATTGGTTTTGTGTGACGTTTGGCTAGGTTTAGATCTTTCCTTCCGCTGCGTGAAACCTAGAATCCAAACCCTAGATCGATGAGATCGCATGCTAGGAACCCGAAGGGAACCCCAACACTGGTATCAGAGCCTGGTTCTCTGTATATCGCCGTGCCTGTTGCTTGTTTGCATGATTTTAATTGTTAAGATGCATGTGAACAATAGATCTTTGCAGGTTTGCATGATTTTAATTGTTAGAATGCATGTAGACTATAGATCTATGCATGTTTTCATGGTTTTAATGGTTAGAATGCATGTCCATTCTTATGCGAAATATGGATCTTAGTCCCATATAGAAAATTATTATAGGGTTATTTTTCTGTATGGGAATATAGCTCATTTTTCGCATCTATGTTGTCATTGTTTGATGATGGACTAGCTGGTAGTAGATCATAGATATGTAGACACCGATTTCAGCATCCCATGCAGTTCAGCTAAGCTCTTAGTCATCCCATGCATATGATACTGCATCACGAATTGATTATAGTCCTCAGGCAATGACATAAGGATCAAGTCTGCAACCAAGTCAGCATCGAGTGTCACTCCCATGCGCTCAAGTTCCTCAACATGAGCTCGCATGTTGAGGATGTGTGTGTTAACAGAGCTGCCTCTCGGCATCTCCGTCTTCACAAGAGCCCTTAGCGTCTTGTACTTTTCAGTACGCGCTAGCTCCTGAAACATGGTTTTGAGCTGTTCAATCATATCAAAAACGCTCTTCTCCTCAAACTGCCTCTGCAGATTCGGGGCCATGCTTCCCAACATGAGACATGAGATCTCGATGTCGTCAGTCTGATGCTTCAACCAAGCATCCTTGACGGCTCTCGTGGCATTAGCTGCAGGCTCTGGTGGTAGAGCCCCTTCCAGGACGCAAGACTTCTTATCGTGCTTGAGAACAATTCTCAAGTTCCGATACCAGTCTAAGAAGTTCGTCCCGGTCATCTTA